CGAGAGGAGCCAGCTGAGGTGGCTCGGGCATCTGTTTCGGATGCCTCCTGGGCGCCTTCCTGGGGAGGTGCTCCGGGCAGGTCCCACCGGGAGGAGGCCCCGGGGAAGACCTAGGACACGCTGGAGGGACTATGTCTCTCGGTTGGCCTGGGAAAGCCTCAGCATTCCCCCGGAGGAGCTGGAGGAAGTGTCTGGAGAGAGGGAAGTCTGGGCATCTTTGCTTAGACTGCTGCCCCCGCGACCCGGTCCCGGATAAGCGGAGGAAAATGGATGGATGGATTTAGTATTGTGCTGTTTTGTGTAGCAGTAGCTAGGTCAATAACTACAGCTCTGCTTTCTCATAGTTCAGCTGAAGAAATATCTGAGATATTCATTTGTTAGTTTAACTAAGGTAATTCTGAATTCAATCTGTATTATATTAAAAAGGAAAGACAATGTACATCTAAGACATGTTCCTCACCTTTCTTTTGCTTATCGTTGTCTCCCTGCTCACACTTGGTTGCCATGACTTCAAACAGAGTCTTGAGGATGCTGCGAAGATCACTAGCATAGTTGGTCTGCAGCTGATCAGCAATACCTGTATCGCATATAATGGATATCAGCAACAGCAAAACAAAGAGATGGAGGGAGTGCAACTAAAGCCTCGATGGCATCTGAACATGTCGGCTTCAGGTCTTACAAGGTCAGGCCTAGGAATATTATCATATCGCTTTCAACACAGAACAAGTCTGAATTGCATGCAGCTGCATGCCCTAAAGAGCAGTAACATGAGAAATGGCAGCTATGGCAAATATCACAGACATACCATGGCTTTCTCTGTCACAGTTGTGGGAATGAAACCATGACAAACATCAACATAAAAGTGACCTATATCTGAATGATTTAAAGCTGTTGCTTTAGCAGACTGAAGAAGCAGCAGCAATGTTGCGTATCCCATGTGTTAGTAATTTTTGCTCAACATGAGTTCAGAACGCGCTATCTATATATATATATATATGTTGCATGCAACAGCAGGTGGTCATATGTGACTGATCATATGCCAGGAATAGCTGGGATATTCGAGACTCTTATTTACAGCAATAAGTATGTCTTTTAAACATCATTCTCCTAGGCTGTACAATGTTCCATGGGGCCTCCAAGTCTGCATTTTAGCCTCTGCATTAGATGCTATATGAATTTAGACACACCATTAAAGGTAATCAGAACAGGCTAGAATTAGAATATAGATGCCAGCAACTTCTCTTGCTACCATAAATACAGGACAAACCCATCTGACTTTGAGAAGACTGTACCATATGATGCTGTAGTATGAGCAATGTTCACCTGGGCTTGTTATATAAATTGCTTGAACTGGGAAACTCTCATGTACTGAGTCTTCTTCAGTCAAAACAGAAGAGGGCTTAAGCAATATTACCTGATATGCAAACAAAGAGACGGTGGATGAGGTCGCTGCTGCTGTGGAAGCGTGATCGAATCCTGTTCCTTGCTGCCACCTTGGCATCATGCAGGGCCAGCTGGACCTCCTGATGGTCCAGGTCCTCTGAGGTTCCCGAGCTGGGGGTCAGACTACTCACAGGGCTAGAGAGTGATGAGAAACAGAGAAGAATCATCATTTCACCCTTCCTAAATGTACATTATATTTCAACAATAACAGATTTCAATCTTTAAAATGAATACAAATGCAGACTATAAAGTGTAAGTTAAACAGGCATACAGATATCTCCCCACCTTCTGATTAAAAATGACACCTATGCTTCTGTAGAATGAGCATGAATCACTAGATACAATCAGAGGAGACAGTATGCTGAATGCATATTACAACACGCTGTCACCTGTAGAGCTGCATAAGGGAAGGAGTGACTGACACAATCAATCAGTTGCTAAGCCTGAATAATGAACTCAGTAAAAGCTAATCATTAACAAAACTCTCTCTCATCACAAACATAGTGCATGACACTTTCACAAGTGTTAAGTTACCTGGGGGTATATGAACCACTCGACAGACTACATGTGGTGACCGACACACTCTCACAGTCACTACTTGACACAGAACTGAGGGGAGAGTTCTGAAAACTAAAAACAACCAAATAAATATAAAAAAAGGAGAAATAAAGAACTGAATCAAATGGGTATACATAAAAACAATGGCAAGACAAACATACATGTAAATATAAACAGGGAAACTTAAGTCATTCAGATGCAAAATGAGAAACAATGGGTGAAAGCAACAAAAATCATATAAAATGTATGATGAAAAATGGTGATGTCATATGTCCCCCAAAGAAATCAGATTTCTCCAACATAAGATAGAAAGATAGTAAAATGACCACATAAACAACAGCACACCTAGAGCTCCTTCTGCCATCTTCTTTGGTGTCCCTAGTTACTGACTGGTCTCTATCCATTTCCTTGTCCCTCTGTCGAACTCCGCTGGCCTGATGCGTCTTTTCAGTCCTCAGATGGCGGCTGCATGTGGAGGGTCCATCCCCTCCACTGGAGCTACAGTCCTGAGCATGATGCTGTGGCCCTGAAGCCACCACCAGGCACTTTTCACAGAACTGGGAGTCTGAATCTTCTTCCAGCAACTCTGCAGAACTGTGGGAAGATGGTGGAGTCAAGTGGGCGAGCTCACCCTTACTGTGAGGCTCGTGACTTGGTGGTGGCAACCGACAAGCAGAAGACTGAATGACAGCGTTGTGGGCTGCGGGTTTACAGTGTTTATCCAATCCCAGGGTGAGGTCTAACCCGAGTCCAGTGCTCTCTGTCGGGACGGCATCCTCGTGGCTATCTTCACAGCTCCCACAGCAGACACATGAGTTAAGGAGGCAGTGAGTGGCCACACGAGGACCGCAGGGCTCAATCTCAGAGGGAGTGGGCCGCTGCAACAGCAGCTTGTCCACAGCCAGCTCTGTCAAACTTGGGGAGCGAGGGTTGAAAATAACTGTGGCAGACAGTTTCATACCGCCCATACGGTGGGCGATGACCTCAGCAGTTTCAGACGCTGTCCCCTCCAAACCCATCTCCCACCCATTGGTGTAAGGCAGAGGTTCAGAGCCAGGGGCGGAGGAACATGGTTGTCGCTTTACTTTAGGACAGAGTGTGTTCTGGCTTTGTGGCTGCTGGCATGGCTGCTCTGACGAGGCTTCAGAGTACCAGCCATTCCTAA